CGCGGGGGCAAGGGGACCTGCCGCTGCTGTGTGTTTACACTCCTGGGACCCCAAGACGAACTAGGCCTGGCTAAAAATGGCCCGGGCTGGGTGGAAAGTTCGTAAAGCGCGGGGTCCGCTTCCGGCCCATCCGCGGCCTCCGTCCGACCCGGACTCCAGGGCCCACGCTGCCCTGCGCCTAAGGGAAGGCTCCGCGAGGCCAGGCTCAAGGCCTGTGGGGCTTCGAGGCCTCTTCAGGGCTCACTTGTGCGCGTCTCTGGCCTTGGAGGGTGGTTGGTGGTGGAGGCGGAGGAGAGGCACATAGCAGCCGGCCTGTGACCTCCCCGCCCCCACCGTGGCCGCCGAGGCCTGCCGGCCTCCCTCGTCCTCCCTTGTCCTCTCTCTCTCTGGACAAATCAGACTAATTGTGACAAAACGCTGGTTATCTCTGGAAAAACAATTAAATCCCTTCGATTACAGTTAAGGGGAAATGTGCTTAGCGGCGGAAAGCGGCCGGTAATGGGGCGGCCCGCGCCCCCGGTCCGGTCGATATCCCATTACGGCGCATGCATATCTCTTTCAAGCACCTTGCAAACTCCCCCCGAACATCTAAATTATAGGGTCAAAATTCGGATAATTACTCGATTAAAACCTATTACACTTATTAGGGGCCGCTATTGATCGTGAATTGCATTCGACCCGCTCCTGATTGCTTTTTGTGTCCCTTCTCCCGCCCTTCCTCGCTCCAACTTCCCGGCCCCTGTGCCTCACAGGGAGGAGAGGGCTGGGGCTTCGGGCTTCGCAAGAGGACTGCCTGCTGCTTCGGCACTAGGTGGAGGTGGAGGGAGTGCAAATCCTGGTGGCTGGAGGGTGACCCCGAAGGCTCTCCCAGGGGGGCTGTTCTGGAAACAGAACCCATCACTCCAGGGCCCAGGCTCTAGCTGTGCCGGAAGGGAGCAGGCTCGCTGGGAAGGGGAGCAAGGACAAACCTGACTGGCAGGGTCTGGGATGGCTTGGGAAACAGCTCCTGCCCCTACCCAGGCTTTCTGGTTGGGAACCAGGACATCTGCTGGCCTTCATGTAACCTGGGCCAGTTGCACTGGAGGAATCTGCCAGGAGTAAATTCATCATTTTGGCCTCAGGATCTCGGTGCCAATCTGACCTGGATCAGGGCCTCGGAACCCGGCTGGGAAGTACCAGTGGAGACTACCTATAGGGCTCCTCTGGTGTTCAAACCACCTGTGGGGTGAAAGGCATACACTGCCTTCAAAGCATTGCAGGAGACCTTCTTCTAAATTTCAGAGACTCAAAATGCAGCCACATCCGTGGCCTCTGCTTGAAGGATGCTGGGCTGCTGCTGGCCAGGCTTCTGCCTGCCCCTCCTGATCAGATCAAACCGACAGACCAGTGATGCTGGGATCTGGGCGAAGGGCCTCCACAGGCAGGGAACAGGCTGAGAGGGCTGAGGTGCTCCGTCCTGCAGGCCCAGCGAGGGAGCTGTCCAGGGCAACTCATTTTGGTCCTCAGGAGCCCCCTGCTCTTGGCCTCCCGACCCCACCCAGGTCTCTGGTCCGCAGGATACTAAATGGCCAGTAATTGGCTGGCCCGAAGCCGGCTGTAATTGGAGGGTAATATACGCCGAAATAAATTAAATGGCCTTTAACTAGTTTGTACATTACACAAAATGAGTTTAATTAAGTTTGTATCTGCCCCGGGATCGATCCGAGCGCTCCCTCGCTTACACTCCGCAGCCCACCGCCCAGCCGAACACCGCGCCCCAGGGACCAAGGCACCGCTGCGAGTCGAGCCACGGGCGTCCTAGCGCCGCTCTGCGTGAGAGGGACCCTTCCCATCTCAGACCTCAGGATATGAGGAAGGGGCAGAGAGGAGATGCAAACGGGCGAGAAGGATGGTTGGGACGATGGGAGGGAAACGAAAACTATGGAAAAAGGAGAAGGCGAAGGAGGATGATGAGACGCCGAAGAGGAAGAGAAGTTCCCGCAGGGAGGGAGCGGGAGGACGGGGCGCGGCCTGACCCTCTGTCTTCTGTCCCGCCCGCCCGCAGGTGCCGGCGACCCCTACAAAGCGGACGAGGCGGAGGCCAACGGCTACAGCAGCGGCGGCGGCGGCCAC